CATGCGTGTTGATCGGATGTTATGTAGGGGGGTCGACATGGATAGTTGTGCTGGCTCTTCAACATCATCTTACCAATAACAGTAAGATCTACATATGCTGCCTGCCGCAAATACCTTTCATGTCATGATTGTAAATCAATGTCGTTCACATCTCTTGATGAAGACTATTCAGGGATCTTGACTGATTCCAAGTTGAACACCAGCAAGAGCCTCATCCACCCACTTCGCCCATGAAAGAGTCATGGAGCCATGTTTGTTTGTGATATTTTGGATCTAAACGTATGTAAATCTCGGATTGATGTCAAATGAACTAGGATCTAGACATTTGGAGGCTAGCGTCAATCGGCCGCCTCACGCATACTATTTTGCCAGTGCTTCCAAGTTCTTCACTCGGGCCCACCACCAATCGGCGGGCAAGTCGTCCTCCAAGTCACTTGTCGGCATGATGACAAGAAGTTGCCAGCAAGGTGCATCAGGTCTAGCCCGTCCGACACGCTGCTGTCTCGGAGGTCGGGCGCCTGCCCAGCCAGTGCAGAATCCGCTACGTCCGGATTCTGAGCAGCATCACAATACCTCCTCGCACCTCTCAGCCAGTCGCCTCGCTTGGCCCTCGGCGCAAGGCCTTGTGCTTGCGACGCTCTTCCTGTGCGATGTTGTCGAGGATCTCGTTGTGGTTCTTGACCATGAGCCCTTGAGCCGTCGCCATGACCCCCCTCGCGTACTCCGGCCTCAGCACCTTGCAGATCGCCGCCCGGCTCTTGCAGTACTTCCTCGACAGGTCCTGCTGCTGGATTGTCCGTCGGTGCTTGGTCGCGGCCGGGGCGGAGTAGTAGAGGCAGACGATGTCGAGCTTCTCCTGCGCGGTCAGCCGGCTCATGCCCCTGCACGCCGAGCTGTGCTTGCTCCGCGCCGCCGCGTCCCAGCGGCTGGTCTCCGGGCCCCAGCTGCCGGGAGGTCCGGGATCCGGCAGGGCGTCGAGGGAGGGGTCGTCGGACGAGGAGAGGTCAAGGGCAGAGGCGACGGGGCAGGGAGGGTCAGGGAAGAGGAGGGGCAGGGGCAGCACACTGCAAGGCGACAGGCAGCGGTCATCACAGGTAGTAGCGGAGGGGTCTGGGATGTCGACGGGGTCGATGGGGAGGAGGAAGGAGGGGTGGAAGGAGAGGTCGTCAAGGAGGAAGGGAGGGAGGAGGAGGGGTAGAGACGGGGACATAGCAGGAGCTGCGGAGGGAGGGAGAGGAAGCAGGGGCTGGCAGCTGGTCAGCGGAGAGGGACGGTAGTGAACCTGTCTTGTTTTACACATAGCATATTTTTTTCCAAGTGCCGCAGTGCCTGATTTCTTTCTTTACGAGGTCGACTCGCTGTCAACCCCCCGCCACCCCTCGACCGGTCCGCGACACCCCACCCCCGCGCAAGAGCCCTGACCACATGGAGGATCAGGTCCTGCCAACTTTTGAGCGGGGGCGGGGGTAGGGTCCAGAGACATTGACTGGTAGTATTGACTACGACCTGGGGGGTGGGGTGGAAGGCAAGGGGTTGTAGGCCCGGCCGCGGCTGGCGGCATCTCGCTGAGTTGGCGGCGACATTCCCCCAGTTTTTGGGGGAATGATCGGCAGGGTTGTGTAGTAATCTGTACCATTATTACTACTGTTATTGTTTGATTTTACTGGACTTAGTCAAGTAGGGTACGTAGGCTCGGACCGTGACTACTGGCAGGACTGACCGGCGGAAGGGCCGGCAAGAGACCTTGGCCACGTGGGAGGGCTCAACCGTCTCCTCCGGCTTCCTGGCCCTTGAAGAGCTACGAGTCATCAATCGGTCTCAGCTCTTGAAGAGCTACAAGTAGTACGCCCTTGATCTTCCTGGCCCCGGGGCCACTGGACTCGGAGAGCGTTGAGGCAGAAGGGGCCCCGGCCAGGTCCGTCCCGAGAAGTCGATCATCAAGTCCGGGGGCTGCAGAGGCTGGTTATAGGACCGGTGGGCTTCTTGGTATAGGACCGGTGGGCAAACCTCGAAGGCTTGAAGGCTATTCGGTACCCCCCATTTCATGATTTTTTTCTTCGGAACTTGGGAAAAGGTACGTGATTCGAATATGACATTGAACCCGAAATCACTCCTTTTACCGTCATCTTCGGAGTCAAGCTCAACGGTTTTTCAAACTGACAAGTGTGAGTCACGTCCCACTCGGAAGGGCAGTCCGCGACACCCCACCCTCCAATCGGATGGAATAGCTAGGCATAGGACCGGTGGTTGCATGCGAGCTCGGCCACTGGGGGAGCAGTCATCATTTTCGGATTCATACTCACGCTCGAGTAGTTCCCTGAGCTGGAGTCACAGAGCAGGCTCGGCAGCGACTGACTACTAGCTGCCCAGTGCAAGCGCATTGACGTTGCGAATCTCCGTCATCTCGTCAAGGAAGTGACGGATCTTTCTCGGCATGGGTTTCAATGATCGAAGCATGGTTTGTGTGGCTTTCTTTGTATGTTACATCAGCTATGTTGCTGGACATGTTCCTTACAGAACCTCTCGCAAAGGTGCCACCCTGACTCGTCTGCTGGCATGCCAACGAGAGCCTCCAAGCATGTATGTGCCAGCTGGTTTGCATATGCCGGGGATGGATGCTCCTCTCAACGTTTCATCATCATAAAAGACCCCTACAATCAACAACGTTGATACAAACCCTACAGTCTGAGATCTGAAATGATCTAGGCTCTGAAATCCACATGGTGGCTGCTTTCTACATTTTGTGGATGCTCTTTCTTTTTCCTCATCGTGATCGCATTGCTTACGAGACACAACCTCGATATCAACGATCTCTCAAAAGCATCCCTCGTGTGGGAAAGGCGGCCGGGCGTCCCACCCGTGCTTCAAGCGGCGCCTGGTTGTTGTCCTAGGTGTCAAGTCCAGGATTCTACTCATCGTGTGTCTCTTTGCGTGTTGAGTTCCAACACAACCAACCTTAGGCTACCAATGATAGGATATGAATCTGCTGTTGCTGTCTGATCTCTCGACTCACAAGAAGGGAAGTAGAGAAAGAGTTCGAGTAGCATACTCACACAGCACAGACCGTCCTCGTCTCAGAAGGCCATTGATAGACGCGGGAAAAAAACTCTCCACCTTGAGAGTTTGAATGCTCTTACAACGACAACAGCACACTCGTCTTAACTGCTTCGGAACAAAGGAGTGGTCTTCAGGGAGGAAGGGAGGGAGGAGAAAGCGTAGAGACTGCGGAGGGAGAGAGGAAGAGGGGCTCAGCGGGTGAGGGAGGGAGCAGTGGCTGGCTGCTTGTACGCGCCGTCGTCTTCGATGCAGGCGGCCACCCAGAGCTCCATCGCTCAGCCAGTCGCTCTCCCTGGCCCTCGGCGCATGACCTTGAGTGTTGTGATGGTCTGCTGGGTCTCCTCCTTGAGACGCTCCTCCGCGATGTTGTGGAGGATCTCGTTGCGGTTCTTGACCATGAGCCCTTGAGCCGTCGCCATGACCCCCCTCGCGTACTCCGGCCTCAGCACCTTGCTGATCGCTGGCCCGCTCTTCCCGTACATCCTGGACAGGTCCTGCTGTCGTATCGTCCGTCGGTGCTTGGTCGTGGCCGGGGCGGAGTAGTAGAGGCAGACGATGTCGAGCTTCTCCTGCGCGGTCAGCCGGCTCCTGCCCCTGCACGCCGAGCTGTGCTTGCTCCGCGCCGCCGCGTCCCAGCGGCTGGTCTCCAAGCCCCAGCTGCCGGGAGGTCCGGGATCCGGCAGGGCGTCGAGGGAGGGGTCGTCGGGCCAGGAGAGGTCGAGGGCAGAGGCGACGGGGCAGGGAGGGTCAGGGAAGAGGAGGGGCAGGGGCAGCACACTGCAAGGCGACAGGCAGCGGTCATCACAGGTAGTAGCGGAGGGGTCTGGGATGTCGACGGGGTCGATGGGGAGGAGGAAAGAGGGTGGAAAGAGAGGTCGTCAAGGAGAAGGGAGGGAGGAGGAAGGGCAGAGACGGGACATAGCAGAGCTGCGGAGGGAGGGAGAGGAGGAGGGGCTCAGCGGGTGAGGGAGGGAGCAGGGGCTGGCAGCTTGTAAGCCAAGGGGACAGCAGGAGGTAGCGACATTCCCCCACTCTTGGGAATCGGCAGTGGTCCCACGGGATGACATGTCATCGGGCCGGAGGGGTGGGGTGGGGTGGGGGACGGTAGTAAACTTCTGATTTTTAAAGGAGGACCGATGACTACCTTTTTGTTATAAGCGTCTGCTTACTTTCTTTACGAGTCCGACTCGCTGTGTACCCCCCGCCACCACCCTACCTCCCCCACTACCCCCCCTTCAGTGGTGTCCTCATTCCATAAGTTCAGGGGTGTCCTCATTCCATAAGTTGTACAGTCAGTACTCAAGGGGTCTTGGGGGGTGGAGAGTTGCGGACTCGACGTGTACCCCTGGTACTGCTCCGGAGAGTCACGGGCTTCCCCAGTCCGCGACACCCCACCCCCCTAGAGCCCTGATCACAGTCTTATCAGGACCGGTGATCGCTTGCTTGTTTGAGGTGCTGGTCACATACTTGCTGGAGAGGAGTAAAATTATCCTTTCATGGTTAATTATTATTTTATTTCTGTGCGACAGTGTCAGGGTCAAGCCGTACTGATTTTTAACTTAACTTTGACTAAAGTAAGTGCCTTAGTTATTTATTTCACTTTCGTGGGGCCGGCGGGCCGGGGATCGACTCCGATGGTGCCTCCCGAAAGTCTCAGTGCCAAGGAATCGGGCTGACCGTCTAGAGCAGGCCCGCTGTGACCGAAAGTGACTGCCGATGTATACAACTTTTTACTCAAAGTTAAGTTACAAATCAGTACGAGGACAATCAGGAGAGTAGTCTCTCCAAACTCTTTCAATGTACTCAACTTGATACTCAGAAACCGTTGCATAGGCATCATGGTCTCATCAAGACTTCTCATTCAAGGGAGAAGGTCAGAACACAGGTTTTGAACAACATGCGTGTTGTTCGAGATGTTATGTAGGGGGGTCGACATGGATAGTTGTGCTGGCTCTTCAACATCACCTTACCAATAACAGTAAGATCTGCATAATGCTGCCTGCCGCAAATACCTTTTATGTCATGATTGTAAATCAATGTCGTTCAATTCAGGGATCTTGACTGATTCCAAGTTGAACACCAGCAAGAGCCTCATCCACCCACTTCGCCCATGAAAGAGTCATGGAGCCATGTTTGTTTGTGATATTTTGGATCTAAACGTATGTAAATCTCGGATTGATGTCAAATGAACTAGGATCTAGACATTTGGAGGCTAGCGTCAATCGGCCGCCTCACGCATACTATTTTGCCAGTGCTTCCAAGTTCTTCACTCTGGCCCACCACCAATCGGCGGGCAAGTCGTCCTCCAAATCGCCCCGCGCGAGCACTTAGCAAGTCGAGCCCCTTCATCCCGCTCTGATGCCTGTCGGCATTGATCAGGCATGATGACAAGAAGTTGCCAGCAAGGTGCATCAGGTCTAGCCCGTCAGACACGCTGCTGTCTCGGAGGTCGGGCAACTGCCCAGCCAGTGCAGTATCCGCTACGTCCGGACCCTGAGCAGCATCACAATACCTCCTCGCACCTCTCAGCCAGTCGCCTCGCTTGGCCCTCGGCGCAAGGCCTTGTGCTTGCGACGCTCTTCCTGTGCGATGTTGTCGAGGATCTCGTTGTGGTTCTTGACCATGAGCCCTTGAGCCGTCGCCATGACCCCCCTCGCGTACTCCGGCCTCAGCACCTTGCAGATCGCCGCCCGGCTCTTGCAGTACTTCCTCGACAGGTCCTGCTGCTGGATTGTCCGTCGATTATTGGTCGCGGCCGGGGCGGAGTAGTAGAGGCAGACGATGTCGAGCTTCTCCTGCGCGGTCAGCCGGCTCCTGCCCCTGCACGCCGAGCTGTGCTTGCTCCGCGCCGCCGCGTCCCAGCGGCTGGTCTCCGGGCCCCAGCTGCCGGGAGGTCCGGGATCCGGCAGGGCGTCGAGGGAGGGGTCGTCGGACCAGGAGAGGTCGAGGGCAGAGGCGACGGGGCAGGGAGGGTCAGGGAAGAGGAGGGGCAGGGGCAGCACACTGCAAGGCGACAGGCAGCGGTCATCACAGGTAGTAGCGGAGGGGTCTGGGATGTCGACGGGGTCGATGGGGAGGAGGAAGGAGGGGTGGAAGGAGAGGTCGTCAAGGAGGAAGGGAGGGAGGAGGAGGGGTAGAGACGGGGACATAGCAGGAGCTGCGGAGGGAGGGAGAGGAAGCAGGGGCTGGCAGCTGGTCAGCGGAGAGGGACGGTAGTGAACCTGTCTTGTTTTACTCAAAGTATCGAGAAAACAATAATTTTTTTCCAAGTGCCGCAGTGCCTGATTTCTTTCTTTACGAGGTCGACTCGCTGTCAACCCCCCGCCACCCCTCGACCGGTCCGCGACACCCCACCCCCGCGCAAGAGCCCTGACCACATGGAGGATCAGGTCCTGCCAACTTTTGAGCGCCGGAGGCGGGGGTAGGGTCCAGAGACATTGACTGGTAGTATTGACTACGACCTGGGGGGTGGGGTGGAAGGCGAGGGGTTGTAGGCCCGGCCGCGGCTGGCGGCATCTCGCTGAGTTGGCGGCGACATTCCCCAAGTTTTTGGGGGAATGATCGGCAGGGTTGTGTAGTAATCTGTACCATTATTACTACTGTTATTGTTTGATTTTACAGTGGACTTAGTCAAGTAGGGTACGTAGGCTCGGACCGTGACTACTGGCAGGACTGACCGGCGGAAGGGCCGGCAAGAGCCCTGACCACATGGAAGGGCTCAACCGTCTCCTCAGGCTTCCTGGCCCTTGAAGAGCTACGAGTCATCAATCGGTCTCAGCTCTTGAAGAGCTACAAGTAGTACACCCTCAATCTCCCCGGCCTCGGGGCCACCGGACTCGGCGAGCATTGAGGCAGAAGGGGCCCCGGCCAGGTCCGTCCCGAGAAGTCGATCATCAAGTCCGGGGGCTGCAGAGGCTGGTTATAGGACCGGTGGGCTTCTTGGTATAGGACCGGTGGGCAAACCTCGAAGGCTTGAAGGCTATTCGGTACCCCCCATTTCATGATTTTTTTCTTCGGAACTTGGGAAAAGGTACGTGATTTGAATATGACATTGAACCCGAAATCACTCCTTTTACCGTCATCTTCGGAGTCAAGCTCAACGGTTTTTCAAACTGACAAGTGTGAGTCACGTCCCACTCGGAAGGGCAGTCCGCGACACCCCACCCTCCAATCGGATGGAATAGCTAGGCATAGGACCGGTGGTTGCATGCGAGCTCAGCCACTGGGGGAGCAGTCATCATTTTCGGATTCATACTCACGCTCGAGTAGTTCCCTGAGCTGGAGTCACAGAGCAGGCTCGGCAGCGACTGACTACTAGCTGCCCAGTGCAAGCGCTTTGACGTTGCGTATCTCCGTCATCTCGTCAAGGAAGTGACGGATCTTTCTCGGCATGGGTTTCATAGATCGAAGCATGGTTTGTCTGTGTGGCTTTCTTTGTATGTTAGATCATCTATGTTGCTGGAGATGTTCCTTACAGAACCTTCCGCAAAGGTGCCACCCTGACTCGTCTGCTGGCATGCCAACGAGAGCCTTCAAGCATGTATGTGCCAGCTGGTTTGCATATGCCGGGGATGGATGCTCCTCTCAACGTTTCATCATCATAAAAGACCCCTACAATCAACAACGTTGATACAAACCCTACGGTCTGAGATCTGAAATGATCTAGACTCTGAAATCCACATGGTGGCTGCTTTCTACATTTTGTGGATGCTCTTTCTTCTTCCTCATCGTGATCGCATTGCTTACGAGACACAACCTCGATATCAACGATCTCTCAAAAGCATCCCTCGTGTGGGAAAGGCGGCCGGGCGTCCCACCCGTGCTTCAAGCGGCGCCTGGTTGTTGTCCTAGGTGTCAAGTCCAGGATTCTACTCATCGTGTGTCTCTTCGTGTGTTGAGTTCCAACACAACCAACCTTAGGCTACCAATGATAGGATGTGAATCTGCTATTGCTGTCTGATCTCTCGACTCACAAGAAGGGAAGTAGAGAAAGAGTTCGAGTAGCATACTCACACAGCACAGACCGTCCTCGTCTCAGAAGGCCATTGATAGACGCGGGAAAAAAACTCTCCACCTTGAGAGTTTCAAAGCTCTTACAACGACAACAGCACACTCGTCTTAACTGCTTCGTAACAAAGGAGTGGTCTTCAGGGAGGAACGGAGGGAGGCAAAAGCGTAGAGACTGCGGAGGGAGAGAGAAAGAGGGGCTCAGCGGTTGAGGGAGGGAGCAGTGGCTGGCTGCATGTAAGCGCCGTCGTCTTCGATGCAGGCGGCCACCCAGAGCTCCATCGCTCAGCCAGTCGCTCTCCCTGGCCCTCGGCGCATGACCTTGAGTGTTGTGATTGTCTGCTGGGTCTCCTCCTTGAGACGCTCCTCCGCGATGTTGTGAAGGATCTCGTTGCGGTTCTTGACCATGAGCCCTTGAGCCGTTGCCATGACCCCCCTCGCGTACTCCGGCCTCAGCACCTTGCTGATCGCTGGC